TTAAAGACCACCATAAGTGGCTAACTTGCTTTTTTTTCCCCTACTTGATAGATCTAGCAAACTCTAGCAATATGTTTATGAGATCTAATCGAATTAATTTGAGTTTTATTTTAGATTTGATATTTATTTATATCCTGCACCTATATATATTTGTTGTTTTAAGCTTATTTGAACAGGGTCGGTCATACGTGAAGAGAAACCACAAGAAGCTAGTTGAACTCCTCAAATTCATAATTATTTGAGTAGTTTCGGCACATAGTAGCAATCAGTGCTGCACTGAGGAGGTAAGTAATCTAATTGACTTATTCATGCAGATGAATTCTGTAACTTGAATCATGTCCCTCTAGCTCTCAAGTCCATTAACAAGTTAAATTCTGTGGACATTCTTAAGACTACTTGGTAGCGGAGAACCAACTAACAAACGTTTATTAGTTGGTTTAAGAATAAAAAAGGATTGGCTATTGGAATGTCTCTGACAACTATAACTGATTTATCATATTTCCGACAACTATAAGTGATTTATCATATTTCCGACAACTATAACTGATTTATAATATTTCCAACAACTACGTTACTGGAGTTAACTATTTCATCGACTAGGAATCTTTCTTATAATTGAATTAGTTTCTAATTTGCATGTAAAAGTTTGGTTTATATTACTTTGCTTATTTCATATTTCATATTTTATATTGATATTAAATCTATAAAAATCTTTTTTTTTATGCTTTTTATTTGTTGGTCAATTAAGAAAATTAGTTTTCATTCCCTTGTGGATTCGACCTTTTTTACCACTACTATAATATTATTTTGTTGATTAATTAGGAATATATTTTATTAGATTCGACACCCATCATAAATTTAAGAGAAATGGAAGAAAAATTACAATTTGATCTTATAGAAGTTCAACCACCCACCAATACCTACATCCTCTCATCAAATTAACCATTTAAATATTTCTATCATCTTCTCAAATTCTTACAACTGTTTTTATTTTAGGTGTCTATTTTCACATCTTACAAATGATATTTTAAGGTGTCTGACTTCACAACTCAAGTATTTTTTTATGAGTATCCAAATAGTAAGAGATTCTCAATCCTCTTCTTACAAGCTTCCAAGAATATAAAATGAAAATTTGGGATTTTATTCTAAACAAGGATTAAAAAAATATACCATGAAGCTTAAGAAGTTATAAAAGTAGTTCTCAAATTTTGACTCAAGGAATATTTGATTTTCAAGAGTTTTACTCACAAGAATTCTCCCAAAATAAATCTTTTCAAACTTTAAGTATATGGAAGAATAATATTAAAAACAAGCTCTCACTAAAAAAAAAAATCAAGTTGAAGCTCAGTGGGATGAAAATATATTTCTTAAATGATTAAATCAAGTTTTAGCTTTAATATCTCTCAATTTTTTTAAAAAAAGATGAATATACGAATAATATCTAAAAGTCTAAAGAAATTTTTGAATGTTACATAAAGAATATTTTTAGGTATTAAATACATGCAAAATATATAATATGTAAAATTCAGGTCGTGCAGATGTGAAGCTCATATTATTATGACATTAAGTTTCATGTTGTTCATATGTTTCCTCATGTTGAATCTGCTTCCTTAGTTATTTTAAAAATATTTTTTGATTCAATTTTTTTTTTTCAACTTTCCTTCCTTTAGAAATATTTTTTAGAGTATTTTTTTCACATAAAAAATTATAAGAAAATTGACTTACATACATATATATATATATATATTTTTTATTTTATAACATAAATCAATTTTCAAAAAAAATTATTTTAAAATTTTCAACTTTCAAAATGTTCCATATTTAAAATAAATTTTCACATCAAGGACCTCAAGAATAAAGTATAAACACTTGAAATTAGATTTGTTAATATTATTAAAAAAATTCAGCCAAAAAATAAAATCATCTACTTATATTAAAGAACATATACTTAGAAACTTAGATCTTTAATTTTATTCTCTTTCAAATGTATTCAAATGTCTCTTCTATTTCCTCCTTGTTTGCTTATATCTATCTAAGAGAACTTTAAGCTCTACTCCATTATTTTAGCTTTACTACAAAAATTTCTTCAAATGCTTACTTAAGACAATATTAGTATAAATTAAATATTTGTGATTTCATCAAAATCAATATATGTATGACAATAGTAATTATTTTAAATGAAATTTTAGTTTTTATTTATTTATTATTATTTATTTTTAATCCAATAAAATCTTAAACATGAATATATTAATGTGATCATGAAAAATTTGAAAATCACATCAATCATGTAAAACATAAAACATAACCTATTTGGAATTCATGTTAGATACATTTGTAACTTACCATTGCATACCTCTGTTAAATCTCTTTGCTGACTTTTTGTCCATCTTTATTTTAACCTTTTTTTTTTCTTTTTTTAATTTTTTAATTGTCAATATATATATTTTGGCTAACAAACTATGCTTGCTTGAGTTGTATGTACTTAAGGTTTTCTTTCATGGCATGTGAACTAATGAAAGTATTCACTGGACATATATTATGACTCTTTAGATTAGGTTTGGTTGTATGGAGTGACATTTACACTATGTCGTAGAAATATGATGAAAAAAAAAATAGATTTAAAAAAATGTAAAAAAAAAAATTGAGATATTAAAAATTTCATAGGTCAAAAGTAAAAATCAATATTCTTATGATGAAATAGTTTCATTTCTAAACTCAAATTGAAAATGCCTTGAATATGACTTGAAGCATTAGAAGGAGTACATCGTACTTATTATTTATTTATTTATATCTAAAATTTCCTTCCCATTATAGTTTTTAAATAAATTAGTTTAGTGAACTTTATTGTACGAATGCCATGGTCATATAGTCTAAAATAAATAGCATACGATCAATTCCTGATTAGGTATGATAATTTAAGCATAAGTAATAAGTGTAAGTATATAAAATATCATAAATTTATTTATAAAGAATATGTAACTTTTATAAATAAATAATAAAATGTAGAAATTTATTACTTGACTAAGATGATAAGATATAGAATCATATTTCTATATAATAAAAATATGAGACAAAATAAATAAAATATTTATTGGTAATTAAAAAGAAGAAACATATAAAGTGTCTCCCAACTCTAGGGTTTTGCCTCACATCCCCTCTCAAATTTATTTATATTAAGAATTTTTTTTCTCTCAATTATATATCCTAATTAAGTCACTTATTAGTAGAATTATGCTTACAGTTCATTGAAAAAGACACATACATCAATGTTCTACCATAATAGCTAATTGCAACATTAGTATCCCCATAATATGATTGGCCTAAAGTATGAATGATCTAACAGACTTGATTAAATACAAATGGGTAGCCCTTGAAAAAGTAGGTTGAGATGTCAAATCCTTAAAAGAGGTAAGAACTATATTAAAAAAAAAAAAAGGTTTTACAATCTGACCTATGAAAAAGTAACAGAAAAGATTAAAAGGAACTTAAACTTACCAATATAATGGTGTTTATGTTTTACTAATTGAAATCATGCATGGTCTAGAGTGACCAACCCGAACAAGGATAGAAAGGGCAACAAGATCTTGTATTACTATAATTTGAGATTGTTTTATCTTCTATCATAACTTATATCATAGAGATTGCTCTCGAGCTCTTTGACATGTGTTATATCAACATATTCTACCATCATTTGATAGTTAGTTTCCTTTGATGGGTTATGAACAACATACTCATATTCTTTGTCTGGAGATTAGCTTAGTATTATAGTATTTCTCTACCACATCATTATCCTTGCATTAAGGGATGTTATGAAAAGGTGCACCAAAAAATGTTATGAAAATGAGATAAGTTTAAAACAATACAGAAGAAAGTAAATTTTTCTTATATTAAAACTCATTTAGTCCAACCTTCTTTAGATTATTGTTATTAGAAATAAAAAAAAATTGTGACACCTAGTCTTCATATATATAACAACTTTCACATCGTCTCTAATATTTTTAAAAATTTGACTTTTTTCATCCTTAATGTTCCAGTGATTTTTTCCAGTTGATGTTGATTGTTTTACGTGCTCGAGGAAACCTTCATTTTCAGAACCTATACTTATGTTTGGAAACAAAAGGTGTTAAGTTCTTACTGCAATATATTCTAAAGAATATTCAACTAATAAAATTTTCACATTCTAAATAAATAAAAGATAAAACCAATAAGATATCTCTATGTGGAAAGAGTGAATTACTCTTTAATAGAATGAAAGTTCGAAGTCACATTAGAATAAATATTTACTAATTATCACGTGTAAAGTGGTGATTTTTTTTTTGACTATTTTAATTAAATATCTAATAAAAATAAAAATTGTGACTGTTGTTAAACTATGTATTTCATTCTAAATTTTGTTTTTTTTTTTTTTCTTGTAAAGAGGTACCACCATAGTTTTCAAGTTAAAAAAATATGTGTAGGTTAGTTTTAAGAAAAATGATAAATAGAGAAATAGGATCCGATTTACTAAAACTAGAAGGTTGTTGAAACTGGGAAAGTACTGTGAGACTGGGGGGGGGACGAGTGCACGCGCTTGGAATGAGCGTGG